AACATCCTGGAGCAAGAGAACTCTCGGCTCAGGACCGCACTTGTCAAGATGAGAGAAGCAGCCAAGCAAGGAGCCTTAAGGGTAAGTGTCTCCACAACCACAGGTGGAGAGAATACTCACTCCCCACAGTTAAAAGGTCACCTGCTGAATAAATAGGAAGTAATACAAATAGAGTGGTGGGTCAGGGTCATGGGGGGGTGGACTTGGAGGATTCACCACTCATCCTATTGCTTCCATGGCCTTTAGGATTTAGAGACCTATCCCATGATCTGTGTGGGCTTAAGGGATGGAGGTACAAGAACTGTCTTATGATCCTCATTGATTGTTGAACTTTAGGTTTAAATCATCCTATGACAATACGAGTTTCTAGGGCTAACGAATTGGAGACCCATTCCATAGTTCTTATTGCTGTTGGCAGACTGGAGACCCATCCTTTAATCCCTGCTGAATCTGAGGTACTGAAACCCCATTGCCTTTTGACACTAAGTTCAAGTCTCCTCAAAATTCATACTTCAGGACCAACTCCATTGTTCCTGTATTCTCTGGAGCTGAAGGGTCACCTCCATACTCACTGAGGCTTACCTGAATTCTCCCTTAGGCAGGGCTGTCCAGTAGTTCTAGGTCATAGCTCATCCATAAGAGTCTGGATTCTGAATGAAAATATAGCTGACAAATTAATCATTAAAAACGTGCCAAAAAATTATGCCTTGGACAAGTCAAATGACTTCCTTACTCTGAAGCTGGCATGCTTTGAGAACTAGACTGAGACTTCCTGAATGAACAGAGCACAGAAAACTCTAAAGTCACCTCACCAGGATAGACTAAGCAAGAAGCATAAGCAGAGCTTCTCTGTGAAAATAGTCCTGCTCCAGAGAGAGGTTATGCAGGATGGGCTTTGGGATCCTTCCCCAGGACCAAAGCAATTAAATTAACTCATGTGTGATGGTCAATGATTGGTCTTTCAGGACTCCTGCAGAACAGTCAAACAGCTAAGTGGAGGCTGCCAGCGCTACAGCTCTGCTTGCCAACTCAGGCTGTCAGGTTTGGTTCTAGGCATGCCCACTTCACTGAGCCAACCTTTCCTTCAGGTCAGAGTGGCTGCAGACACAATGGAATTAGGAATCACAATAGACTTATTCACTGTTCAGAAGGCAAAAACCTAAGGGCAGCCCTTGGGTTTCAATAAACAGAGAATTGTTTGTAAGCTGCCAGTAAGATATCCTTCCTCTCCCCAAAGGAGGATCATAATTAGAGTGCATGTGAACAGCAGAGGGGAAGTGGTGAAACACGTCTTGCTCCAGCTGGGAACTGGATGTGTCAGTGCAGTACAGTGCCATAGCCCAGGCCTTATTCACTCAAAACAGTGTCATAGATTTCATAGACATTAGGGCTGGAAGGGGCCTCAGAAGATCGAGTCCAGCCCCCTGCCCCAGGGGCAGGAAGTCATCTAGGGTCAAAGGATCCCAGCAAGATAGATGTCCAAATGTTCCTTAAGAGAGTCCAAAGTAGGTGCTTGCACCACCTCTGGAGGCAGTCTATTTCAGGGCTTGGACAGTAAATAAGTTTTTCCTCATGTCCAGCCTGAAATGGTTTTGGAGGAGTTTGTGACCATTTGACCATGTCACTTCTAGGCTTTTTTCCAATTATTTGGGGTTTTATTCCCTATTATTCTGGAGAGGGAGGGATCTCCAAGCTCACCTTCTAGCCAGATATGCAGGGCAGTTGTCATCAAGTATGTGTGTGTACTACATCCTGTTCCAGTTCAGTCAGAAAGGAAAAGACTTCCCTAACACTATGAAATCTTATAGCACCTTATCCAAAACCCACTAGAAGCAGTTGGAATCATCCAGGTCTTCAAGGGATAGTTCCTAAGGGGGCTCTGTCTGAGCCTTCATTGTGATTCATTGTTCATGATCACAGGGAACCAAAATCAACCCTAAAACCAGACAGCACCATGGTCCTGCTCTTTAGCCCTCCTGCCATGCCCATCCTAGACTCTTGTGAGTAGGGACTGATGTCTCCTCAAGCCAAGGCAGTATTCCTGGGGAACCTCTCTGCAACATCCCCACCTGCCTCTCTTTGTTGTTCCCTCAGTTGTTGGTTCACTAAGGGAGAACCTTGCTATTTGGGATAAGGTATATAGTGGCCAGGGCTCTATAGGGGCTTCTTCCTCTACTTTTAGCTGCCCTTCACCTCACAATGTCTCTGGTCCATTGCTGGGCCTCTGCTCTGAGACCCCAGCCTTCCCTTAGGTCAGTGGTTGATCATGGAGCCTCCGACAGTGGATCTCAGTCTGTCAGAGGCAGATCAGGTGCACCACGATCAGGAGCAGCAGGGCACACATGGCTGGGATAAGCCACATCCCCTGCCACCAAGGCCGGGCTAGGTGAGTGGGGTCAGAGCCCAGTAGGCAGGGCTCTTTGCTAACAAAAAGTGATCATCTCCATAAAAAGGTTGGAGACCACTGCCTTAGGCTCACTTGTCCCTAGCCAGGTTCCTCCTAGCCCAGGCCTTTCCTTTGGCATCCTTCTGCTGGGTTTCCTCTAACTCCAAGGTTTTTTCCAGGCCAACTCAATCCTAGCTGGTCTTCTCCCAGCATTAGCCCTTCCTCAGGCCTGCTCAGTCTCCTGTCCCTTTGCATTCCTAGTCAAGCCACACTTAGCAGAAGCTGCGCTCCATTTCACTGCTGGAGCCCATCTGCCCTTTCTCTGCCATCTCCTTTTATCTCTCTGCCAAGGCAGGGCCTTCCAGCCAGAATTGTTCCTCATAAAAGGCTTTCGCCTTTTTTGCGATGAGGGATAAAGCGAGTTCCATTACAATTCTCCAGCCCAGTTTGCCAGTGCCCCTCAGTGACATCCTAGTGCTGTATACTTGGCCATCTCCTTGCAAGGGACTCATTCATTTCACTTACAATTTAAGCTCTTTGGAGTAGGAAGCTCTTTGGAATAGGGACTGTCTTCTGCAATTATACCATACCTAGCGTTAAGGGATCTAGGTCAAGGACTGGGCCTCTGGATCCCATAATCCATCTGCCATGTAACCCATCCTACATTTTAGCTAAAATCTGAGCTGGCTCCTAGGGAAGGCCAGCTTGTTGCAGTACTGCTTAAACAGCTCTGTAGATAGGGGAAATAGCACTCTATACCCACTAACACTGAAGGACTTTGGGGCCTGATGCTTTATTTTAGGTCAGTCTTTTTGCAAGACCCGCCCAAGATATGGTAACTGTGGGTCAATCCTAGCTCCTGGATGTGGAAGAAATTCCCAGCATTGGGCAGTGACCACGGCTATGAGCTCAGGCAGGTTCTAATCCCATGGTTCTCTCTAGCTTATTCCACAGACCCAGCTGTGGATTCATTCATCTGCCCAGACCAGCAGCAAAGATGGTGTGACAGACCCCCGCAAAGATTACACAGGGTGAGTAAAGCAAAGCAAGGAGCTGGGAACTTGGTTTCAAAAGAGACCTTCCATACTGCAGATCTGCTCTCTCATCCCTGCTTCTGCTGCTTCTACAGAAATCCTACTGGTGCACACAGACCTCCAAGCAGCCAAGCTGGCAATGACAGCCTGGTGTCCCGCCGGCCTCCAAGCAGCCAAACAAACAAGGCACGCCAGAGACCAAGCAGCCAGCAGACAAAACCATCCTCCCTAGAGACCACATGCAAGGAACTATCCTGCCTCTCTCTGCTACCTGAGAACTCTCTCCTCAGTACCAATATCAAGCCCAAAGGGCAAGACAGTGTAGCTGGAGTCCAGGTCCTTCCATCATGCAGTACTAGAAACCACCAGAAATAGGCCAGCAGAATAACTGTCAGGAGGTGGTATTCAACCAGTGCCTCTAATGCTGTCATGTTTACCACCCAGGATTCCCATAAGTAGCAAGCTAGTGTTGAAGGCAGTCAGCCAGCCAGCTCTCTTAGGACAGGTGATTTGTGGGGGAGGGACAAATGGAAGTGGGATAGACATTGAGGATCCTGTTCTGATTCAGCATTAGAATGAGCAAGGTTGATGCTCCTATCACCAGGGCTTCCTTTATCTGTTAGAAGGAGAGACCAGAGTTCAACATACTGTGGACAAGGTCCTGAACAAATAGAATTCTTTTAGAAAGCTCTGTGCCTTTTCCGTACACAGACGTTAAAATGCTTACAGCGGTGAAAAAGGCTCTATTCCCATAGCCCCAGTTGTATGGAGGGTACAAGAAGGGCCTTTCCTTCTTAGGAGCTAGAGAAAGCATCAGCACATGGCTCTCCACCTCCTGCTGTGCAGTTTTAGGGTGGGGAAAAGCATGGTCAGGCTTAGTGAGGTACAGCAGGACATCCAGGTGGTCTGGGCTGCTATTCACAGAAGAAATGAAGGGTTTCATGCCAGGGTTTGATCAGTAGGAGGGATATGGAAAAAAGTAATCTAAGCACATGCCTGGAAAGTAGGAACTCTCACAGCAGCTTGGCCACAAACATCCTTTGGCAAATCACAGGGGTGTGTTGTGTCTGCGTGACCTGGAGAGCAAAGCAACCCTTCCCCAGCGAGTAAAGATCAGCCTCTGGGATACCCTGTGCACCAAGAAGTCTGTTCTTAGACCGTGAACTTTCCACCAGGGAAGTTACCCAGGGGCACCTTAAGCTAATAGCAAGAGTCAGAGCAAGGTTTAGTACATCCTAAACTTCTATTTGGTTTCTCTCTTTTGGGCAAAAGCATCTCCAGGTGGCTTCTCGAGATAGCTTGGGCTGCTAGCAGAGAAAAGGGCTCACCAGCCAGATGAAAGGTGCACTGAACTCAAGCAGGAA